TGGAAGTGATGATTGTAAGGGGTTTCTTATGCATCCTGGCCAGCTCTGCTACACGTAGCCACTTTCATATTGTTCGTGTTTTTCTTGAATTCTTTTCATATTCCCCCCCTTCTTTACCAAAAGGCTTGGCACTAGCTTTCTTTGGACCCATAGGGGCTTATTTAGCAGTTGCAAGCACTACAATGAAGGGAAAATATTAGAAAAATGTATCATATGAAAGCGTGAGGTGATGGTCACTTGCTGATAAACAATGGCACACTGGCTGGGAATGGAGTGTGAGGCCGCTTGGGGCCATGCATATGCGTCTGGGACGAATGACTATTTGAGAGTCAAACAACGATTCACAAATCATCGTTTGACTCGCTGCTTACGAAAACAGGGAACTACTGTACTATATCAGTCTTGTTCACACACAGGAAATCAGCAAGCATAGGGCTTGTATACCAGTTGTCTGTGAACAATGTATGACCCTTGCCAAGGTATGGTTCCATCATCTTGCGAACACCACCACCAGAAATGCCCAACATGTGCCTGGTATTTTTGAGTGTGTTTTTCCCTGTTAAGGTAATGACATCCAAGGCAAGATTAGTCTCACAATCACACAAAGCATTTTATACCAAAGTGATTGTATTTGCTTGGTTATGTTTGAATGATAGTTGTCCTTTGAACAGAGCCAAGGACTCGTCAAAAAACAATGTTCTTGAATGGATAAAAGTAGGCGCTGAATTTTTACCCTTTAGATACATAAACAGTTCCCGGATTTTGTATAAGAGGTCATTTCGGTTTTGGGTTATTCCTGGGCTGAGAAGTGCAACATTCGTAGCAACAGAGTGGAATCTGTTGCAGGGAAGGAGGTCACGGAAGACTGGAGTACTGATGAAGTAGTCTGTGGACCAGGGAGTGTGCTATATTGTTCTTATATATGTGGCATAAGCATGGCAGCACCAAGGAATAAATACATTTCAGCCACAGTTGTATCTTTCCACCTGCACAGCCATGAAGATTCTGAAATATGCGTGGTCCATTATATACCGGTAGTACATGTTGGTCTGTGTAATAATTAAGTTCATTATCGGCTCATCAAAGTATAGTTGAAAATAGTCACTCTGTAGACTCATTTGTGATGGGACAGTGTGGCATGCTGCCACTTTCACTAGCATCAAAATTGGGAAAAGGGTGTGGCACAAATGGTGTACTGTCCAGTTCCATACGTGGTCACATGGTGCAGGTTGACCTGTGGCATGGGGCATGGGGGGGGCAGGAGAGGGAACAGGACTGAAGGCAGTACATGGTTGAGAGGGTGCCAGGTGGTCCTTTGTCCCCCCACCCACCACGCCACGAGGTCTAGGGACCATGCCACCCTCCCCTCTTCCTCCATCCCAGCTTACACTCCTTCACGATCACTATCAGTGGCTGGGGTTTTGGATCGTGACCTCATACGACCCTTTTCCACCGGAATGCACATGGCACATTGCCTGAACGCAGGTTACAACGCCTAAGAGTACGTTTCACTGGGGAATAATGAAAATCACTTTCACTCGATGAATCGTCTATGGGCATAAAATCGATATCGTCATTGTCACTTATATCACCCTTTTACTATCTTCATCACCAAAAACAATGGAAAATGATAATTTTCCCCTTGCGGAGTTGCCTTTGGGAAGTAACACTGGCAACCCCAGAGGTGCTGGGCTGGGATCTGGTATGGGGCCCCACTAGCCACCCCAGGGTCATGGGCTGAGGGTCTGATATGGCCACCTCAGAGGTCATGGCCTGAGGGGGATTGGGTTATCAAAAGTTTTCACTAATTCCTTGATCATTAGTGGCCATATCGGTGTCAAAATCACTAAACTCACATTTTGTATCACCCTCCGAGAATAGTAGTTTAATATGAAAAGTGTGAGTGAATTCATGGGGGTTTGGCATGATGTTAACCCAAGATGGGGGTGAAACTAACTGGTGTTACCACATGGTACCCTGGCAAACCCGATTTTGAAACAATGAAAAATAAAATGTTGATCTACATTCAGAGCCCTCCCCTGCACATGAACATAGATCTACATGTGGACAGTTTAACCCTTTGAGGGTCGCCAGGCTCTCTCAGAGACTTGTTCTCAGGGTCGCCAAAATTTAAAAAAAAAAAAAATATTTTTTCTTATGAAAAGATAATCTTTTCCCGATCATAATGACACCAAAAGTATGAAATTTGATGGAAAACTTACGGAATTATGCACTCGCGAAGTTAGCGGTCTCGATGTTTACGCATCGGCGATTTTGCCCAATTTGTGCCCTATTTACGGCCAATTCCAGTGTACTAGTCGAGAAAAATCATAACTATTTCGCTAGAAGTCCGTTTTTTCTATCGAATGAGTACAAGAACCCACCCATTTACCGATTTCAACTATCCAATAAAGTGGTCAGAATTTTGCAATTTCACACAAATTTCAAAAGATGCAGATTTCCAAATAGGGTCCAGAATAAACAAGAAAGACATTCACGGCACTAAAATAACATTTCCTCTATTCATTAGTCACTTCCCCACGCCCCTCTTACATTTCTTTTGCTTTCCACTTTGAATTTTTATTCTCAAAAAAATAGAAGTTATGCAGACTACTGTATTAGTGTAGAAATGGTATAAATAATACCAGCGCACTTGTGAAAGAATATTAGATTCACCAGTTGACGTGTATTGGATGCATGGCATGATATGTTTACTTTTGAACTTCGGCAAAAATTGAACATTTCTGCTACTTTGAGCATAATTTCAAGGTACTTTTCATTGTGAAACCAATCAAAATCATCTCAATTTGTGTAATATGTCTTCCATTCTATAAAATAAGACCAGGAAAACTAGAATACAACCATAAATACCATACAAAAATACAGTGCAGTCGCTGTTTTAAACCAAAAACACGGTCCAAGTTTTTTTTTCTCATTACGCACTGTGTGCTGCAGGATTTTTTTTATACTGTGCACACTGACCATATAGACCCATTCTTTCATATGTAGGCCTACCAGCTTTCTCTTGCTAGATTTGAGGGCGCTAGAATTTATGCGTACTAGTACGTCAAAAACCCTGGCGCGTAAGCCGTACTAGTACAGCCGAAACCCCGAAAGGGTTAAGGGTTAATGTTGGGTGAGAGGCGAGTAAAAGAGGTAAAACGAATAAACGAGAAAGAGAGAATGAGAGAGAGAGAGAGAGACACATGGAGTTATGTAAACAAGCAGACGAATGCGGCTTTTTTTTTTCATACACGTAACATCTCATGTTTATGTTAATTTATTCTACTGTAGGGTGTATTTGTCATGTTTATATGTTATGTAGCATGTTTATTTTATAATTTTGAAAAAAAAAAATATCAATGCATTAATGAAAATGTTTATATTAATGTAAAATACGATATTTAATACACCTCAGTGATTATTATTGTGTATTATTATCATTATTAGTCTTGAGGATGCCATATTAATAAGACATTCTTAGTTATTTTAATTTGTACCTGCATGCCAGCCCAGTGTGTAAGCCTATTTAGGTAGAGTTTTTTTTTTTTTTTTTTTTTTAACAAGTCGGCCGTCTCCCGCCGAGGCAGGGTGACCCAAAGAGAAAGAAAATCCCCAAAAGTAAAATACTTTCATCATCATTCAACATTTTCACCTCACACACATAATCACTGTTTTTGCACAGGTGCCCAGAATACAACAGTTTAGAAGTATATACGTATAAAAATACACAATATATCTCTCCAAACTGCCAATATCCCAAACCCCTCCTTTAGAGTGCAGGCATTGTACTTCCCATTTTCAGGACTCAAGTCCGGTTATATAAAATAACCGGTTTCCCTGAATCCCTTCACTAAATATTACCCTGCTCACACTCCAACAGATCGTCAGATCCCAAATACCAATTGTCTCCATTCACTCCTATCTAACACGCTCATGCATGCTTGCTGGAAGTCCAAACCCCTCGCCCACAACACCACCTTTACCCCTTCCCTCCAACCTTTTTGAGGACAACCCCTACCCCGCCTTCCTTCCCCTACATATTTATACACTCTCCATGTCATTCTACTTTGATCCATTCTCTCTAAATGACCAAACCACCTCAACAAACCCTCTTCAGCCCTCTGACTAATACTTTTATTAATTCCACACCTTCTCCTAATTTCCACACTCTGAATTTTCTGCATAATATTTACACCACACATTGCTCTTAGACAGGACATTTCCACTGCCTCCAACCGCCTCCTTGCTGCAGCATTTACAACCCAAGCTTCACACCCATGTAAGTGTTGGTACTACTATACTTTCATACATTCCCTTCTTTGCCTCCAAAGATAACATTTTTTGCCTCCACATATACCTCAATGCACCACTCACCTTTTTTCTTTCGTCAATTCTATGATTAACCTCATCCTTCATAAATCCATCCGCTGACACGTCAACTCCCAAATATCTGAAAACATTCACTTCTTCCATACTACTCCTCCCCAATTTGATATCCAATTTTTCTTTATCTAAATCATATGATACTCTCATCACCTTACTCTTTTCTATGTTCACTTTCAATTTTCTACCTTTACACACATTAGAGGTAGAGGTACACAAGTATAATTATTCAAGTACATATATACAGTATATAAAACATGAAATAGGTTTAAAACTCTTGAAAGTTTTAAAAGTTTGACATAATGGAGACACGAGATACTCACAGAGCTCACAGAAAATGTAAACAAACCAGGTGGGGCACAGTGACCGTATTAGAAAGTCAGGTGGGGGGAGCTGTATAGTGAGTTTGTCATAAGTTGAAATGTCCGTATTAGCAGAACGCCGTAAAGCAGGGCCCTAAGGTACATGCATCCAGAATCAAGAATAAACTGTAAAACAAATGGTAAAACTTGAGTATAGTATTTAAATAAGCTTTTATAAAAGAATGTTTTATTAATTTTGATTCCTCAAAGAAAATATGTTTTGATGATAGCAAATCCATTGCTTTTAAGAGGACAAAAAAATGCCAAACAAATTCAACAGTTGGAGTGAAATATTTTATTCTAAATAGGTATTACACATTCTTATTTCAATAACTTGGATTTCAAATAATATCTTGGGTCTTGCTAAAATTTCCTTAGTTAAAAAAAAAATTAACATGCGGTACTTATGACTAGAGAGAGGCGAGATGTTCTCAGGTACATATTTTGTTTTAAATTCAACCCAGATTATCAAGGGGCTGTATGACATTACCAGTTGCAAGAACATTTAACCTTTTCAGGGTCAGCAGGCCCTGTCGTAAACTTGTTCTCTGGGTCGGAAATTTTTCGAAAAAAAAAAAAAAACTTTCTTGTGAAATGACAGAGAATCTTTTCCTGATCATAATGACACCAAAAGTATGAAATTTGATGGGAAACTTACGGAATTATGCTCTTGCAAAGTTAGCGGTCTTGACGATATTGATGCATCGGCGATTTCGCCCACTTTGAGCCCTATTTTCAGCCAATTCCAATGTACCAGTCGACAAAATTCATAACTATTTCACTAGAACTCCATTTTTTCTATCGAATGAATACAATAAACCACCCATTTACTGATTTCAACTATCCAATAAAGTGGTCAGAAATTGACAATTTTGCCAATTTCACACAAATTTCAAAAGATGCCAATTTCCAAATAGGGTCCAGAATAAACAAGACAGACATTCCTGGCACTAAAATAACATTTTTTCTGTTCATTAGTTACATCCCCAGGCCTCTTTTACATTCTTTTGCTTTCCACTTTGAATTTTTATTCTCACAAAAAAAATAGATTTACTGGTATGTAGACTACTGCATTAGTGGAGAAATGGTATAAATAATATCAGCGCACTTGTGAAAGAATATTTGACTCACCAGTTGATGTGTATTGGACACGTGGCATGATTTGTTTACTTTTGAACTTCGGCAAAAATTGAACATTTCTGCTACTTTGAGCTCAATTTCAAGGTACTTTTCATTGTGAAACCAATCAAAATCATCTCAATTTCTGTAATATGTCTTCCATTCTATAAAATGAGACCAGGAAAACTAGAATACAACCATAAATAGCATACGAAAATACACTGCAAAGTCTGTTTAATAGCAAGAAATACGGTTGGAGTTTTTTTCTCATTATGCGCTGTGTGCTGAAGGATTTTTATACTGTGCACACTGACCACATAGACCCATTCTTTCATATGTAGGCCTACCAGCTTTCCCTCGCTAGATTTGAAGGCGCTAGAATTTATGCGTACTAGTACGGAACCAACCCTGGCATGCAATCCGTACTAGTATGGCACCAATCCTGAAAGGGTTAAACCAACTAGAAGCTGGATATTTACAATCATCTCAAGCCTTACCTTGCCAAATAAAATGTTGATTGATACCCAAGTTATAATTGTAGGCTACACAATTTTGTGATGTTAATGTCCAACAATAAAAGTAGTTACATATGTCAACTAAGACTGCAGAGACAAAATATATCATGGCTCCTGATTCAGGAATATATATAAAAGGCATGTATACATTAGTGCTGAAAATGTAAATTAAAAAGTACTGTATACAAATTAGTGTAAAATACTCCCATTAATCAATGTGACAAATTTGAAACCAATGGGCAATTCAGATCTCTTAAATTAAAAATAAATACCCTTCTACATCACCCTTGCAACATAACTGTTTAAACATGACAACAATCAAAATAGTTTGGTTTTAACATACAGTATTTGATCATTCATCAACAGACATTACCTATGGTAATTTTTTTTCATATTTAAAACAATAACATAAATGTTGCATTTAAATCTTCAAGTTTTCATGAGTTCACACACTCCCCTCTGTTTTTCTTTTTTTACTTGGAAAAACTGGACTAATCCTTCCATCATTATGTCCATTATTTCGAGTCATAGGCACCTTAAAGTCTTCATACTTGTGTGTATTCCCTTTATTGGTTCGAGGTGAGCGCCACACACAAGAATCATCTCCATCACTGTATACAGAAGTGTAAGTTTGCTGGCCTGCCCTCTCACTATTACGGTCCTTTTCTATCTTAAGGTGAATACTTTCACTCATTACAGTCTTTCCTCCTCTTGCATCATTTTTAGTACTATTTTTCTCTACATCAATTAAAGGAACTTTCCCATGATTAAAACTGAAGTTATTTCTGAATGAAGTGGGTGTAAAAATATTTTTAGAAGCCAAATGGTTCTGCCCATTGGGATGATTCATGGAAGTAACATCTTTAGTTTGACCCATATATCTATCATTAAGATTGGCAGTCAAGCTATAAGCAGCAGATGTAGAGGCTTTTCCCACATGTCCAATGTTGGAATGTTGACTTTCATATTTTTCTTTAGTCCGTGAAGGAGCTAGACCTAAGGAATAGGCAAATGACTCTGTTTGTTCCTCTTCTTCTCTAGCTTCTATGAGTTGTTGTGTCATTATCTGAGCCCAAAATGTTGGATCATCTGTAAAAAGAGAAAACTATTTAGAAACCTTTATGAGCTACCTCAATAATAAAGTTATACAAACAACAAACACTGTCAGACCTCGCTTGTCGGTTGCATTACTTCTCGAATAAATCGGTTCTCGAATGAGATGTTCGAGAAAAAATGTTCCGGCTTTGTACGTTCTCTTGGTTGTGGATAGACAAGTTTTCACATGTGTGGAAAGGGACAAAGCAGCTCAGGTCACTTACTCACAGAATGGGCACCGGACAATGGGTCAAGAACATGGGTATGCAGTCAGCATGGAAAAATTTGTGGCAGCCAGGGATTTTGAAGGCTTTGAAGATGAGCCTGAGCCAGTAGAGGATACTGTATCCCTTGGGAAGACCTTGGACCTAGAGGTGACTGAAGATGATGTGGAGGAGTTGGTGAAGGAGCACAGAACTGAACTCACCACAAGAATTTCTAGACCTTCAGAAGGAGCAGCAACAGATTGCAGCGGAGGAGCTGTCATCAGAAGAGAGAAGGGATGATGTGCCCATTGCACTTGTCAAGGAAATGTGTGCTAAATGGCATGAAGTGCTGAAAAATACAATCCAGACAAAGCAGTGGCCATCCGTCTAATGCGAACAGTGACAGTGTAATGTCTCAATTAAGACAAGTGTTAAAATGGAGCCTGAAACAAACCTCACTGGACAGGTTTTTAGTGAGGCACAGAACCAGTGAGCAAGAACAAGGTGTTAAGTGGTGAAAGAGACAAAGAAGAGAAGGACAGTTGCCTGATGTATTAATAGAAGGTGACTCTCCTTCCAAGCAGTAACATTCCCCCCCCCCTCCTCCTCCTCCTTGCTTCCAGTGCACCATAGCTCTCCTCTGACAGGCAAGGGGCAGTAAAATTTTCACTTACTGTACAGTATTTCAGTTCAATTTTCATTTAGTATTCATTTTTAGTTTCCCTGTACTGTATAATTTTATGCATTTTTTAAATAGTAGTTAGTATATTATTAATATATTATTATATTGTCATTTGGGGTCTGGAACAGATTAATTCTATTTACATTATTCTTAAAGGGAAAAACTGATTTGGCTGTCATCGATTTTGGTTGCTGAATCAACACCTAGAATGAATTAAATTTGAAAACCGAGGTTCCACTGTATTATATTATGAGACAAATTTTTACACTGCTGAAATCTTTATAAATACTGTTACCATTTATAACTAATTTTCATTCAAGATGTATTTCCACTGCATGGGGTCTGTAATTAACCCATTCACTGTCATGATCCCTCAAAAATATAAGTCTCCTCAATGTCATAGAGATGGCACGAGTGTTTAGTGTTAAGAGAATCAACAATTCGTTCAATTCAAGACAATGAGACAAAGATGAAAGCTTGTGCAACGAGTAATCCTCACTAAAAAGACAGGACACAATAGATATCTACCCTCTACCAGGATACACAACAATCCACAACTGCAGACCATACCAAGTTGGGGGTGGTATTGCAATCTATTACTCTAACCAATTATCTTGTATTAGCACCAATTGCTTTAGTGATGGATATGAAGAATACATTTTTGCTTATTTTACTGTAAAAAACCTTAAGACGCCTTTAACAATCGGTGCCATTTACCGGATACCCCACACAAACATCCCAAACTTCAGTGAGAAATTAAAGGCACTAATAACAAACAGACAAATGAATACGCACCACCTTCTCTTAGCTGGAGACTTCAACATCAACCTTGGCTTACTAGATGATCAGCCTGTAACTGATTTCATCAACAATATGAACAACACACTTCTCATACCAACAATAACTAAACCAACCAGGCTCACTGAAACAAGTGCAACTATAATAAACCACATATGGACCAATATACTAGCCCCCCTTAAATCAGGGATAATCACAGATAGCACTACAGACCACTACCCTACCTTCCTCTTGACAAACATTAGTAAACCACCACTTGAATACAACAAAGTCTCATTTAGACTCCATGATGAGGCCTCAATAAGGAAGTTCACAGCTGACCTAGAGACTGTTGACTGGCCTACAGAATTCTCCAAGGCCAATGGTATTGATGACTGGACAGACATTTTTCTTAACAAACTACTTAGACTATACAACAAACATTGTCCTATAAAAACGAAACAGATCACAAACGGCTTGGTTGCCCATGGCTAACCAGTACCATTCTGAAATCCATTGATAAGAAACACCAATATGAAAAGCAATATAGACAGGGCTTAATACACAAAGATATTCTTAAACACTATTCATCAGTCCTCACCAAAGTAATAAAGAAAGCCAAACAACTATACTACTCCAGTAGATTCACTGACACAAGAGGAGATATAAAAAAGACCTGGAAAACACTTTTCTCAGATTCTAGGGACCCACAAACTGAAAAAAAAAAGAATATTGTCCTAACTAAACCTAATGAAACACCACTGCAACCCACTGACACAGCTAACAAGATAAACGACTTCTTCTCAACCACAGGTTCTAATCTCGCCAATAAAATCCCACATACCAATGCCCATGCCGGGGACTACCTAGAATGGGAATTTCCCAAATTCCTTCTATCTTGCCCCAAAACTGACCCCAAACGGATGTCACCGAGATTATAAAATCACTTAAAAATAACTCAGGGAATCTGTCTCATGTCCCACCATTATTGTACAAGAGAGTGGCCCATGTCCTCTCGCATATTATCTCATTACTTTTTAACAAGTCACTAGAAACTAGCACCTTCCCGAAATTACTCAAGACGGCAAGGGTTACACCAATACATAAAGGTGGTGACCCTACAGATTTAAACAACTATAGGCCAATATCAAACTTACCATTGCTATCCAAAATCTTTGAGAAACTCGTGCACAGGAGACTGTATTCATTTATAACGTCACAAAACATACTCAGCCCCAGCCAATTTGGATTCAGGAAAAATAAAAGCACTAACCATGCAATCATAAAAATGCTAGATCTGCTTTACACAGCATTGGAAAATAAGGAATATCCACTAGGAACTTTTATTGACCTAAGAAAAGCTTTTGACACAGTAGACCACGGCATCCTACTCCACAAACTTGACCATTATGGTATAAGAGGCCATGCGCTTGCATATTTCAAATCTTACCTTACTAATAGGTATCAGTATGTCACCATTAAAGACACAGCATCAACAACACAGCCACTTGATACTGGAGTTCCGCAGGGAAGTGTCCTTGGTCCCCTGCTCTTCCTCATATACATCAATGATCTTCCAAACGTATCTCAACACCTGAACCCATTCTCTTTGCTGACGACACGACTTATGTCATCTCTCACCCTAATCTTGCCACCCTCAACACCATTGTTAATGAGGAGCTGATCAAGATATCAACTTAGATGACAGCCAATAAACTTATGCTTAACGTTGACAAAACCTACTACATTATGTTTGGTAGCAGAGCAGGAGACGCGCAAATTAACATTAAGATCGACAACACTCTAATTGCCAGGCATAATGAGGGCAAATTCCTAGGCCTATACCTCGACAACAACCTGAACTTCAGCACCCATATCCAACACATAACCAAAAAAGTATCCAAAACGGTTGGGATCCTCTCCAAGATACGATACTACGTGCCACAAACTGCCCTTCTCGCACTATACCATTCACTTATATATCCATACCTCACCTATGCTATCTGTGCTTGGGGTTCAACTGCACCAACACATCTAAAGCCAATAATAACCCAACAAAAAGCCGCAGTAAGAATAATCACTAAATCCCATCCCTGGCAACACACCCCCCCACTCTTCATAGATCTAAACTTACTCCCTGTTCAGTACATCCACACTTACTACTGTGCAATCTACATCTACAGGACCTTAAATTCCAATATTAACCTTGACCTAAAACGCTTTCTTGATAGTTGTGACAGAACCCGCAGGCACAACACCAGACACAAACATCTCTATGACATTCCCCGTGTCCGACTAAACCTTTACAAAAAATTCAATGTATGTCCAAGGCCCTAAAATCTGGAACACCCTACCTGAAAATTTCCAAAACTGCAGACACATTCATCACCTTCAAAACTACCATCAGAAAACATCTTATCTCTCTGATACACCCTGTCAACTAATAATACGAATACCACCTGGTGGTTCACACTTACACTCACTCACCCATTTGACCATAAACAGAAATATCAATCTCAATCTCAAAATAATGAATCTTAACTAGTCATAAGTGGCCTGTGATACTCCAATACTGAAACTATGTATAGTGCCAAAACAAAAGCATTCACATTGCTAAACTCACAACTAGTATTTAGTCACTTAGCCATAATACCAACTTACCTCATAATTTTGTAATATTTTAAATTTAAGATTTAATATAAGTCTGCCCGAAATGCCTAGCCATGCTAGGTGTTCTAGTGGTACACTCTGTAATTATTTTACTACATGTAAACCACACAATAACCAAATTCTGTAAACTCAGCATTGTAATCCTTATAGAGAATAAACTTTGAATGACCTTGAATGAATGAAGTGAAAAGAATGAGGAATAGGTCATTACAGCTAAATAAAACAAAGTTTACTAAATATGTGGATTGAAAAGCAAACTAAGAAAAGTGTTCCACTTGGTCTTATTATTAGGGATAAAGCTGTATCATGCTAAAAATACAGGCAGGCCCTGCTTATACAGCTACTGCTAAAAAGTGAAATGTTGCCCCCCCCACCCCCTTTTTTTCAAATATAAAAGCCTGATAACAAGTTTAAACTATCATATATTAAGTGAGTAATAGAACTAGACCTAAAAAATGCAAATACAGTACACAGGCTACTTTTTTAACATGTCGGCTATCTCCCATTGAGGCAGGGTGACCCATCATTCACACATAATCACTGTCTTTGCAGAGGTGCCCAGATATGATAGTTTACATGTTACTCCAAACAGCCAATATCCCAAACCCTTCCTTTAAAGTGCAGGCAAAGTACTTTCCACCTCCAGGACTCAAGTCTGG